CGAGAGCACTAGTAGAAAAGGAGAAGGGTGACGAAGCGGTGAACTAACTCGTTTCTGAATACTGCCTTGCCACGTCTGCGACGGCATCACTGATCTTGTTCCTGACGAGGCGATCTCTCTCGCTGGCTAAGGTCTCAAGAAGTTTTTGGCGGATGATGGATGCCTGCGCATGGGGTAAGGATACGAATATCTCGACACTATCGCCCTTTTCGTTTTTGCGCGACTTGGAGGCTATTCGACGGAATATGACAGCGGCGAATGAACGAAGCTACACGGAAGGTGAATGAACTAGTTAGTTCTTATAGATTTCAAATAACACATGGAAAACCACAAAGAAGAATTCTGCGTACCGATGTCTCGTTTGGAGCGGCTATCTGCTCAGCTAGGCCCATCAACAGGACATCAGGTCGAGTATTGGTCCAGTTATTCTGCAAATGACCTTCGGCCTGGGATCGTATGGAATTATCTGGAGATTGTAGGGCTTGCAGGAGCTGTGTCAGCTCTGCGTGAGTCTCTGCCGGAAGCACCGACATAGTTGCTAGTAGTCGAGCTCGATTACGGATGCGGATAGGCGTAGGTTTTCGAGGAGTTAAAAAAGAAAGAAGTCGAGTGGTATTTTAATATTCGGCGGGTAGAGCACAAAGTTGTCAAAGATTCAAAGTTGTGTCTCTACTTCGTGATGTTGTGCCCCGCAGGGCTAAGGCGCGCGGTGACCGGCTGTGGATTGTGCGAATTAACGAGTAGGTAGGGAAACGATCAAATGTTGATATCGACCGACGCAGTAATTCGAAATAGTAAATTCCTGTGTGTTTGGTTGTATGTTCGAATTTCAGCACGATCAAACTCTTGGAAATAGATCCTAGAATAGATCCAAATTTCTACGCGTTAAAAAGACACCTAGTCAGTATAGTGATGGTGGTGGTGGGTATGGTTGTTTTGTTCTTGTAATATGTTGTTGTTATTTTTCTTTGGCATCAATCAGATGTAGCGAGGGGTCGCGAAAGAGGGGAGATTCTCTATCAACTTTTTTTCCCTCTTTTCACTTTAGCAAGAAATTCCTTAAATTTCATAAAGTTTCTGACAATCTATTCTTTCTAGTTGCATAAATGTATCTAAACTGGTCTGTGCACACATGTTTTGTTAGGTCAACGATGTTGCCATTTGGAATGCTACTAACTCTAAAAAGAATCTTATAATTGCCGGATCCGGTATGGCTTACCCACTTGAGTCTAAGTCAGGTACACTCCTTACGCATGTGAAGAATATCGGTATCGATAGAAGGTGGGTGGGTAGGTATGTATGTATATCGACTTGCATACCTACCTACATATGTACATACATGGTAGGTACCTAGGCATCGATAAGATCAGGCTGCTTCCAAGCTTCTTCTAAGAGGCATGCTTAAAGACTTTAGATCCAATTGTTTAACAACTTTTACGACAAGGTGATTCGCATAAATGCCTGCCTGGCATATCTACCGTTCGCTGTCGGTTGATTGGTTACGGGGTTTTGCATCTCGAACATGCCCTACCATTTCCCGTTGCCACGTATTACACCCGTGTAGAGGCTCTTAATCCTCATTAGTTAAACACGGGCTATCACGATAAGTTTATACCCAAGTCAAGACCAGCCGTGAGCTTATGGTTTCAATGTCCCAGGCAATTATGCATAATCAATAGATCTATAGGCGTGGAGAGGATCAATCATCTCATTCTTATATATTAAATCAAAATCTATGCTCCGTAGAGATTTACCACTCATCTTCGCTGTATTTGCTTTTTGAGAGTCGCACATTAATGGCACACACTAAGCCTTTAAGTAGTAGGTATAGTAGGTATACTACCTGCAAGCAAAATTCACTTCAATATTGAACTTACCTACCTAGTGGGTAAATTAACTTTATCATCTACATGTGAGACTTTACTATTTACGATATATTAATTCCCTACATATAGATATATATAGTAAGTAGTATGCAGGCACACAATTGTCCAAGGTTGACAGAACAGATTAGGTATTGATATTACTTATGATGCCTATAAATAAGTAACGGTCCATTAAAGTTACCTAGGTAACTCGGGCGGGATCGACACGATGACAGATGGGTGACGGCGGTGTGGGAAGGTGAAGGAGGGGTTTACGGCGTCCGGGGAGGGGCAGTCGCATTGTCGACAATCGGGAATGTCTTAGTGGGTAATACTCCGCGAAGTAGCCCGCAGTCTCAGTCTCACCGGTGTATACCTACAATAGGTACATCCATACATCCATACATCCATACATCCATCCATTTATGTTACATTCATCCTTCAACACTACTAATTGAAAAGTCGAGTTTTTCTTTGCGCCGTCACCGACACAATAAAAACAGTTCCAAATCAGTAACAACATGATCTTGGATGTCTCAAGGAGCCTCTCTTATTTAAATCCTTTAAAAAACCGCATGAGTTCTTAGTAGTAGGCAAGGCTAGACTAGGTCCCTAGGCTCTAGCTATTAGCTATAGCTTCGAAGCTAGAAGTCGCCTCAACTTCTCTCAACTTCACGACAAAGCGAATAGGAATACTACAAAGATTAACCTACTTGCCTAATTGCTCTACAATCTTGTCACTTATTAATTCCCCTCTTCACCATGGACCCTAACGCTTTCTATTTCCGAGGAGGTAGAGACTCTAAGGAAGCAAGCATCTCACCGCCGCCCCCTCAACGAACAGGCTCTGCTTCGAGCCTGCATAAGTCCGGTCATATCATTAGTCATAGCCATCGCTCAAGCTTTGCCGAAAACTTGAGAGGTCTACCACCGTCACCACGGAACCAGAGACATCCTTCCTTTACTCAGGCCGCTATCCAAGACCTACTTAATCATCCGCCAGCCCCAAGACAGCACAACCCTCGTTTCGCCGGTAGGGATTGGCGCGATATCACAATCGGGGAGCTCGTATCTAAAGATGAAGTCTCCTGGGTTGAAATGGATACCAGCGTGGAAGATGCGACGATGGTACTTGTTACCCATTGCTATTTGACTATTTGTTCTAATCATACTTCTAGGCGCTACTTAAGAATACCTCGAGCAAAGTTGTCATCGTCAGAGAGAACGCTACTAGCTCCATTCCGATCTCGACCTTCGATTTTAATGACCTAAACGCATATATACTAGTCGTAGTTGGGTTGGCACATCCAAGCGACGATTTAGTCGAGTTGTACGATACTGTGGCAACAAAGGCCCAGGCTCAGATCAGTATACCTCTTCGCGACGTCCAGCCAATCTTCCGGAAAGAGTCGCTGGTTACCTTAGAGGGAGACGAAGACCTAGCTAAGGCGATTGAGATTCTCGGTAGCGGTGTGCACAGAGCACTCGTCACCAATCACAGCGGAGAAGTCATGGGCATCCTAAGCCAGTTGAAGCTTATAGAATTCTTTTGGAACGAAGGTCTTAACTTCCGCGTCATCGACGATCTTTATCCTAGGCTCTTGCGCGATATCGGTGTTGGGTCGCAACAAATAATAGCTATTAAGTACGTGGGCCACAGCTAATGGTTTCTACAGTGTATATATTATTTCCTTGCTAACAGCCATACAGCGCAGATAGTCCTTTGACAGAGGCCCTCAATCTCATGAACCAAGAGGGCCTATCAAGTGTGGCCGTCGTCGATAGCGGTTTGAACGTCGTCGGCAACATTTCCAGCGCAGATGTCAGACACCTTACCAATGCTGCGAGCTTCCCGCTACTGCAGAATTCATGTATGCACTTCATATCGGTTATCCTGACCGAACAAGGTGTTGAAAAAGGCAAGGACTCGTTCCCAGTCTTTCACGTCAACCCTTACTCGACGCTCGCGCACACTGTAGCCAAGCTAGTGGCTACCCATTCACATAGGATGTGGATAGTAGAGTCTGCTTCCCCTTCACCTTCCGCACCCGGGACCCCTTCGCTAGGCCCCACCGTCTTTGTCCCGACCCCATCTTCTTCGCAAACGTCTCTCACCGGTAGTCACTTCCCTTCTGTTCCCCCGGCTTCTACCTTACCTGGGTCTCATTTGTCGGGTCGCCTGATCGGTGTCGTTACCTTGACGGATATCCTCAACTTGTTTGCGAGGTCGACCGGGCTTAATCCTTCAGATCCGAGCGAGCAACGAGCAAGAAGGCGAAGAAGCTCTAGCAGCTCTATTCGTCCGTCTATCGAGTCTTCTCGTCCTAGCCTCGATGTTCGACGTTAGAGATGTCAAACTATTAACTGGTGAGTTGCAAGGTTCGGGAGGCTCGGGAAAAGGAAAACCTATGTACCGTTTAAGAGTGTGATCGGGTTACATTGCACGGCGGTATAGTGCTACGGCGGTGCTATTCTTGTCTCGGAATGACGTCTAGGGCTCGGCTTCTTTCTCATTCTCATAATAGCAGTAGAGAGGGAGTTTTTGTGGTGTTCTTATCGCGCACTATTTATTCTAAAGTGCAATGATTTTTATGAGTTACGTTGCTAGGAGTCCGTGGCGTTACTTTTGAGTTACTTTTATTTTTTTTATTTTTTTTTAACTAATGACCATGGACGGAGCTGGGCATATTCGAATATTCTTAATCCGCACTTGTTCTGCCCGTTTACTTCATATTGGTGATGCTACTTCTACATTCTACGTCACGTAGACTTTGATCTAATATTACTATGTTGTTAAGTTTGAATATTTAATAAGGTGAATAGTAATATAGGGGGATAATCCATTACACTGCCACATGCCATCCATAAGTCAGCATGCGTAATTGGCTGGACCCGAGATCGCAGCATTGGACCTACTTGATAAGAAATATGATTTTTAAACATTTCTATCATTGCTTATATACCTAGTAGGTAACTACTCTTCGTACTTATTCTAGCGCACCCTAAGCTCTAGGAGTGGAGGTTTATTCTAGTCATGTGATGGCCAATAAATCTCCGCACAAACCTAGTTGAAGAATATAGTGTGCTATAATTCGCCAACTTTATCAACTGACTATCACCGGATTTGGATGTCAAGGCACGATGTCGGAGTGGTTAACGAGTGAGACTTGAATTCCAAGAATTTCCTAATTCTTGTGTAAGGTGATCTCATGCCTTCGGGCGCGCAGGTTCGAATCCTGCTCGTGTCGTTCTTTTTCGTATTCTTTCTTTTTGTAAATTATTTTTTCATTTTGTCAATCAAGGAATTGAATTGAAGTGTTTTTAGTGAAACTTTATGAATTATTTCACAATTATGAAGACAGCATAGTACGTTTTAATGATCTTGAGTAACTAGACTAAGTAGGCACTCGGATTCTAGGACGATAATTTCTTCCTTGGACAATCAATCCGATCTCTCCTCGGCAGCAAACAAATTAACATCAATGTGCCACTCGGGATAGTTCATTTCTTACTCTCCGAACCCGCAGACTTTTGCGAACCGAGTATTCTCTTCTTATCCGCGTCCGAGAATAAAGTAGTACCTTGCTGCAGGGACTTGACAAGCATGGCCACGGCGTCGCCTTTAAAGTCGTCGGCGCTGCGGATCTTGTCTAGGTCCTCTGCAAATTCCTTGGTGCTCTGCTGGAGGTAATAGGAGGTGAACTCCTGAGATGTGGCGTCTTTGTTTGACATCTTGTTATCTTTTCTCAGAAATGTGACGATTGCAATCTGATTGTTGTCTTCTTAATCGTTATAGAGAAGGTGAAGATGCTTTGTAGGTAGTTTCGAGTAAGTGAGTAAGTTGTGGTTGTTCAATGGATTGTCTATCAAAAACTGTCGGAAAAGTTTTCGATGGTTTTACAGCATTGAAAGTCTTAGGCCCCACAACTTACCGGCCTACCTACATGCATGTACCTACGCTATTAGATATATTCTACATAGAGTATTTACCAATTTATTGGATACCATCGTGAGAATTTGAGTTAACTATGTTAGAATGGGAAACGTAGCAATGCAGTAGACATTTGAAATGTTTGTCATTTGTTCATAATCGATTCCCTAAAACGATGTGATTTTTACCTACCTACCTACCTAGGAACTGTTCCAAGATTTCAGCTCCCCCGCCTTGCTTGTGTTTCAAGGGACGTGGAATATCCTACCTAGTCAGCCCCATTACGTCAACAACATCCCTCCCACCCCCCCTTTCTTCTGAATACCGTATGTATCTAATCCTCAAATCGACTCTTTGCTTTATTTCGGTTCGGAAAACCTAGACGTACAGTAAGCCTATAAACAACCACCACAATACCAAGATGGCGCCACACGAAGGTTTGGTTCACCTCAAGGAGTACGACTGGAGAGACAGCAATGTCGAAAATATAGGAACAGAACTTGATCACAAGGTCAAGTACAATTCAGCAGCTACAGAACCCGCATGGCAAGAAGTCGGACAAGCTGCTGGCCTCCGTGTCTGGCGAATAGAAGATTTTGAGGTAGTCTCATGGCCAAAAGATCGGTATGGTGACTTTCACGAGGGGGACAGTTACATCATTTTACACTCGTACAAGCTGGGAAGGAAGAATGGCGAGGAACAGCTTGCTCACGACATCTTCTTCTGGCTCGGAAGCAAGACATCGCAAGATGAAGCGGGTACAGCCGCTTACAAAACGGTCGAGCTTGATGAATTCTTGCATGGTGTGGCTACGCAGCATCGCGAGCTCCAGAAAGAGCCATCCGATGATTTCGTCGCTTTATTCTCTCGCATCCGGATCTTATCTGGTGGTGTTCGCTCTGGCTTCACGCACGTGGAAACCGAGGAGGAACCTAATGATACCTTGATGCTGCTGAGGATCTTCAAGCATCCATCTGCCAAACGAGCAGACTCGGTCATGGTCTACGAGGTTGAACCTATCTGGCAGAGTCTCGACGAGAACGATGTCTTCGTATTGGAGCGGCAGGATAAGATCTGGGTTTGGCAGGGTAAGAACTGCAGCCCCATGGAAAAAGCGAAGGCCGCCCAAGTTGTTCACGATATGACTATTGCGAAGCATATCGATGTCGAAGTGCTGTCACAGGAAGAGGCAAGATCTCGAACTGTTGTTGGTATGCTAGGTGGTGAAGACATCGGGGAATCGCTTAAAGCCCCTCGACCAATTATCTCATCTAGGAGTCAAGGTGCCAGCCATCGCGCTCGCAGACTTTTCCGCTTGTCAGACGCCTCTGGCCAGTTGAGGTTTGACATAGTCAAAGAAGGCAATGAGATTAACGACTCGGATCTAGATAGCAATGATGTATTCCTTCTCGACACGGGTGATATTATTTGGGTTTGGCAAGGTTCAAGAGCAAGCAAGGCAGAGAAGGCCATGTGGATCAAGGTGGCTGAATTATATATTCGGCGACTTGGAGAGTCTGGCGACGACAAAGCATATCTAAGCCCAATATCCAAGGTAGTCGAGGGTAACGAAAGTCCGGCATTTATCAAGGCTCTTGAGGCGTGATGGCGGCTTACTCTCTACCACCACCACCACCACCTCCACCTCTTACTTTTTTTCGTCTTGCTGGACTTGACGCAGTTATCACATAGCCAAATAATTTGCTATGTATTATTTAAATTCTGTTTTTGTATCGACACAACTATCAACAATGGGATGGGGTTTTAAGTTATGAAGCTAATGAGCTTAAACAACTTTAACTCGGGGCTATCTCGTTAGTGATATCCTATATATGCAATTAGAAGGATTAAACACGGCAATATTGCAGTAAAATAGGATGTGGGGCGGCGGCCTCAATTTTGACGCGACGCTAATAAGTGCTCCCTGTTCCTGGACCTTGTGGACCTTGTGGACCGTGTCATCCGTGTGGTGAGAAACCTTAGCTGGGCACATACATACCTTGTACATAGGAGAAAGGATTTGGACCCTTTCCAATTTGGATCTCGTTGCCGAATTTCTCCTAGACTCCTATAATGCCATCTTACGTCTAAACATTCACGATTACCAATCTCCTACGAAATTCTACCTTACATCGAAAACGTCAATGTCTCTCGTTTGACAGTCATCCGAGGATTAAATTTAAAGATGGATATTCACGAGGCGCAAGTATACTTGCAGTCTTCGCTTCACGAGGTATCCCATGCTTTTCAGAAAGTCCCCGGAAGTGCTGTCTTGATTCGATACATCCAGTCCAGCTATCAAAATGATCCGATCCGGTCCGCTATAGAACTTATTCTTGTTATATTCTTCGTTCGATACATCCTCTCGCCATCCTATCCTACCCACGGTCCCAATTACGTGAAGCTTCGTGAAGATGAGATCGACGAGCTCGTTAAGGAATGGGAGCCAGAACCGCTCGTCGCCGCGCAGACCCCCTTTGAGGAAGCCGAATCTGAGAAACAGCCAATGATTGTCGGGTAAGAATTGGTGTAATAGCAAAGGAAGAAGAAAAAAGAGCGATTGCTAATAGCATGAGTATAGACCGACTGGTCCGAAGGTAAAGCTATCCAACGGCAAGACTGTTACGAATCTAGCCTCCTATAACTTCTATAATTTCAACGCGAGCGAATCGATCAAGGAAAAGGCTATCCAGACTCTGCGCACATATGGAGTTGGCCCCTGTGGTCCGCCACAGTTCTACGGTACCCAGGATGTTCACATGAACACCGAGCATGACATCGCCACGTTCCTTGGAACCCAAGCCAGCATTGTTTACTCCCACGCCTTCTCAACCATCTCCAGTGTCATCCCGACTTTCTGTAAGCGAGGAGATGTTATTGTAGCCGATAGGATGGTCAACTACTCTATTCGCAAAGGACTGGAAGCCTCCCGGAGCAACATTAGATGGTACGAACATAATGACATGGATGACCTGGAGCAAGTTATGAAGAAAGTGGTCCAGGAACAAGCAAAGAAAAAGATTTTGACCAGGCGATTCATCGTGACAGAAGGTCTCTTCGAGATGGTCGGCGATTGCTCTAACCTCCCTAAGCTTGTAAGTTCTTGCTCGATAGTGATTTAGTCTTGTTACACGATTTGGCTAATGGCGGTCGCGTTTTTAGGTGGAATTAAAGGAGAAATACAAGTTCCGCATTGCCCTTGACGAGACTTGGTCTTTCGGTGTACTGGGTCACAATGGGCGAGGGCTTACCGAGGCGCAGAATGTAGACTCGGAAGCTGTAGATATGATCATCGGATCTCTGGCGGGACCTCTCTGCGCCGCGGGTGGATTCTGTGCTGGTTCACACGATGTCGTAAGACACCAACGTATCAATGCCGCGTCCTACACCTACTCGGCGGCCCTGCCTGCTATGGCTGCCGTCACGGCCAGCGAGACCCTAAATGTTCTGCAATGCAACCCTGATATTCTGATCCAATGCCGGGAAAACATCCGATCCATGAGGGCGCAACTTGATCCACGGAGCGACTGGGTGCAGTGCACGAGCGACCCCGAAAACCCAGTTATGTTACTAGTGTTCAAGCCCGAGGTGGTCTCATCAAGGCGGCTAAGCAATGATGACCAAGAGCGACTATTCCTCGAGGTCGCGGATGAGGTAAGATTCTAGAGATTATTCCTGTTGTCGAAATTTATCCACTAATAGAGGACGTAGGCGCTTGCCAATGGAGTGCTCATCACGCGATTAAAGAGCGGGCTGCTGATCGGCAGCGTTGGGATGGACGACATCACTATCAAGCCTGCGCTCAAGATTTGTATCACATCGGGGTTGTCGAAGAAGGAGATTGAGAAGGCTGGAGTAACAATCCGACACGCCATCACCAAAATCATGACTCGAAAGCCGAACCGACAGTCGACTCTAGCTGCTTAGGAAACATTCAGCTTCTCATGATCTCAACTGCTTCTCGACGTTACTTTACGATATGGTACGAGACGAATTTTCTCGCTATTGATGTATAAAGATTATTATGCTACGACCCGAGTATGGCCCTACGATAATGTGGACGGGTGCTAGGAGCCGTATGAGAAGGGTTTACTCATGAATGTATACAGGACGAGAAAAGGAGGCAAGCTGCCATATCAAATTATAGACTTGAATACTAATTGCTAATTCTCATAAACCAAACGCCATTGTGTCTAATAGGGGTACTGTTATGGACCATTCGCTTTGGATGAAAAGTTACTAGGTACCATGTCCCAAAGTACCCAGGTACACCCACGACGTGATGTGTGCCTTCCTTCTGTCATTAGATTAGAGGAA